TGATTTTATTACAGTTTTAGCCGTATTTAATTAAATCTCAATTGAATTTCATTCGATGTCAGCTGATTTTAAAAGGAATTTTAATTAAATCTCAATTGATCCTAACGGGAGTTTAGTTCGGTTGTAATTGATTTTAAAAGGAAATTCAATTAAATCTCAATTGATTCTAACGGGATTTTAATTCGATTCTAATTGGTTTTAAAAGGAAATCTGATTAAATCTCAATTGATTCTAACGGGATTTTAATTCGATTTTAATTCGATTTTAATTGATTTTAAAAGGAATTTTCATTAAATTTCAATTGATTCTGACGGGATTTTGATTCGATTCTAATTGATTTTAAAAGGAATGTTAATTAAATCTCAATTGATTCTAACGTGATTTTAATTCGATTCTAATTGATTTTGAAAGGAATTTTAATTAAATTTCAATTGATTCCAACGGGATTTTGATTCGATTCTAATTGATTTTACAAGGAAATTTAATTAAATCTCAATTGACTCTAATCGATTCTAATTGATTTTACAAGGAAATTTAATTGAATCTCAATTGACTCTAACGGGATTTTAATTCGGTTTAATTGATTTTAAAAGGATTTTAACGGCGGCCCTACTAAATCCTTTCAATAAATATGCCCCCCTAATAATACATGATTTCTGACCACCCGGATTATTTATTATTACGGGTGGAAGGGGGGGGGACGTCGTTTATTATTAGGGGGAAGCGATTAGTTTGGGGAGCGTGGCGCTTGCACAGCCTTTCTGTTAGCCTATGCCTTCAGCCTCTGAAACGTGTAGCCGCTGAAGCCTTTGTGGGTTTCTGCAACCATTTAACCCCTAAAAGTCCTAAGACCCAAAGCCCTAAACCCATAAACCCTAAACCCCTAACCCTAACCCTAAGCTCCTAAACCCCTAAACCTTAAACCCCTAAACCTTCAAAGCCCTAAACCCTGCCGAGCGTTGAACCCCCTAAATCTGAAGCCTTTTCCGCAGGACTCGGACGATGACAGGGGGCGAGCAGCCAAAAAGCCTGCCCCTGACAGCGACAGCTCCGAGGACGAAAAGAAAAAGAAGCCGAAGTCTGACAGTTCTGATGCTGGGACTTTATGTTTATTTTAGGGTCAGGGTTTATGGTAAAATGCATGGATCACAAACCCCCAAAACCTAAACCTTAAACCCCTAAACCTTCAAAGCCCTAAACCCTGCCGAGCGTTGAACCCCCTAAATCTGAAGCCTCTTCTGAGGACTCGGACGATGACAGGGGGCGAGCAGCCAAAAAGCCTGCCCATGACAGCGACAGCTCCGAGGACGAAAAGAAAAAGAAGCGGAAATCTGACAGTTCTGATGCTGGGACTTAATGTTTAGGGTTAGGGTTTCGGGTTAAAATACATGGATCATAAACCCCTAAACCCTAAACCCCTAAGCCTTCAAAGCCCTAAACCCTGCCGAGCTCTGAACCCCCCAAGGGGCAAGCAGCAAAAAAGCCTGCCCCTGACAGCGACAGCTCCGAGGACGCAAAGAAAAAGAAGCCGAAGTCTGACAGTTCTGATGCTGGGGACTTAGTGTTTAGGGTTAGAGGTTAGGGTTAAAATGCATGGGTCATAAACCCCTAAACCTTAAACCC